CAGTCGGCTGTATCGGGCTGTTCCTTCTCCAGGGTTCTCGGGAACTCTGCCGTCGTTGCCTCTGGGTCTCTGGTGAGGGGGAGTAGGGACAAGCCGGAGATTTGGGGCAAGGGGTGAGAGTCAACGAAGCTGCCACAGTGATGACAGTGGGCCTGAGATTCCTCTTCTTACCCTCCGGACCCGCCCCGAGTGCTGTTGTCCAGCCTGTGGGACACTCCTCCCCCATGTCCCTTCCTACCTCCCACCCCCGCCAAGCCCTTCCCCTCGTTGCCAGAGCCAGAGGGCTTGGCCTGGGCCGTCGGTCCCCAGCGCGTGTGGCGTATCCCGGGACATCGACGCTTCAGGGCCGCCAGTACATTCCCGGTGTGGATGCTCGCGGCCCTCTCACCCCGGCCAGGCTTGGGGCTTCTCTCCCAGCCTCAGACCCTCGTCTGTCCGCCTCTGCCTGAAGGTCATCGCTCCGGCCTCGGCCCCCTCCAGCCGTCCCCCTCGCCCCTCTCCAGGCGCCTGGGCCTGGGGGAGAGCAGTGCCCTCGGTGCTGTGCACCCCGCGGCCGGCCTCCAGTGTCCTCGCGCGGTCCCCACCGCGCCTTCCCCCCACTGCTATCTGACCAACTACTGGTCTTCTCAATGCGCCCTGCCCGAAGTGGCCCCTTCCCTCCCGGCTCGTCCTTGACCGCGGCCTCAGTGCCCCTGTCCCTGCCCCCGGGCCTTGGGCGTCTAGCGCACTGCTGCACAGGCGTCCTCCCCCCTCCCTGACGACCCAGTCTCCCTCCTTCCTTCCCCGTGGCCGGCTGCCGCTCCCCCGACCCCCAGTTTCGCTCAGGCTCTCCTAGCTTCTCCCTTTCTCTGCACCCGTCAGTCTGAAGGCGAGCACCTCCCTCGCGGTTTCCCGCAGATGGCCCTTGGAGGTTCCTGGGCGTCGCAAGGCTTCCTTCTTTCGGGGACCCCTCTCCTTCCGTGAGTGGCCACTGACGCTCCATCTCTTGAAGGGGTCCCTCAGCAGCTTGTGCCCCCTGATGTCGCCTTCCCTGTTCCTTGGGGAAGAGGGAAACCGTACTGCGCACCCCCACCCATCCTCCAGCACAAGTGTGCACCAGTGTGGATCCCCTGTCTTCTTAGACGCAAGGCCCCTCTCGCTGTCACCCCCTCCGCTCCGGTTCCTTATGCTCTCCTTGACCTTATTTTTCCGGCCAGGCCGAAGTGGTTGCTGGATTCCCGGCCCACAGTCCAGTCCCAGGAGAGCGGGCTGCGGGGTGTGGTGGGGGAGGGCAGGCAAAGACGTCCACCCAGCAGCCCAGGTCACACACAGGCCAATAGGAAGGCTCGCCCTTCCTGGCTCAAACCAGAATGTCTTAGAACTCCATCATTTCAACATGCTCATTCTCCCCAGACTTGCATTTTTAAGGCTTTTAACTCTAAATGGACGAGTTTTTCTCCTTTTAAAGGAATTTCAGGAATGATGTTGATGGTATCACATTTTGCCTCTGCAAAGTCTCTAGCTTTATTGCCTGCTATCCCTATACCCCACCCCCATTTGCCTGCCCCTAGAGTTGTCCATTCCATTCTGTTTATCTTTCATTTTTACGTCTTCTCGCCAAAAAGTGTCTTGTTTTGCTGAAATGCCTTTTAAATTTGTGTAAAAGGAATTCTCATTCCATTTCTTATTCAATGCTAAGATTTTAGGATTGGTCTGCGTACCTTCTGCCCTTTCTAACTGCTGCCTCCTTTCCAGAGGGCCCATCTGCCTTGTTCTCTCCTTCCCTTTACCTACCCAGCTCCCACCAGTAACAGTGCAATAGGCATTCTCATAATACCCTCTTATGCTTCGCTTCTCAAGCAGGGTGCAATTTATCACCTGGGAATCTTGTTAAAATGTAGGCTCTTGGCTTGGCACTGGCACAGTGGCTAATACCTGTAATCTCAGCACTTTGGGAGGCTGAGGTGGGCAGATCACCTGAGGTCAGAAATTCAAGACCAGCCTGGCCAACATGGTGAAACCCTATCTCTACGAAAAATACACAAATTAGCCAGACATGTTGGCGGTGCTTGTAATCCCAGCTACTCACAAGGCTGAAGCAGGAGAATCAATTTGAACCTGAGAGCCAGAGTACAGTGAACCAAGATTGCGCCACTGCAATCCTGTCTGGACAACAGAGAGAGACTCTGTCTCAAAAAGAAAAGAAAAGAAAAGAAAAAAGAAAAGAAAAGAAAAGAAAAGAAAAGAAAAGAAAAGAAAAGAAAAGAAAAGAAAAGAAAAGAAAAGAAAAGAAAAGAAAAGAAAAGAAAAGGAAAGGAAAGGAAAGGAAAGGAAAGGAAAGGAAAGGAAAGGAAAGGAAAGGAAAGGAAAGAAAGAAAAGAAAAGAAAAGAAAAGAAAAGAAAAGAAAAGAAAAGAAAAGAAAAGAAAAGAAAAGAAAAGAGAAAAGAAAAGAAAAAAAGAAGCAGGCTCTGATTCAGCCGGTCTGGAGCAGGGCCTGAGACTGCATTTCCAACTAGCTTCCAGGTGATGCCTGTGTTGCTGATTCTGGGACCACATTTTGAGGAGCAAGACTTTTATAGACCTCTGTGAAAATTCATTCTGGGGTTCTGGGTCCTAGGGTATATGTTGATCTAATTTGTTGAGTATTGCCCATCTGCTCTCCAGTCTGGCTGCACCTCCTTACCCCAGCTGGGCAGGAGGGTAAAATGCATATATTCTGTGGGGAAAGGAAGAAGGTCTTCTCCTTGCTCCTGCCCATATCCCATCCACCAGTGCATATGATCAGGGCCCAAACTCCTCTCTCCCTTCATTGGAATGGACCCAAGGCTCCAGAGCAATGTCCCTGGCTAGCAATGCATGACCAAGTCAATAACGGATCCAGGCCAGGCAACCTGGTCTCTGTCCTCACTATGTGGGACCCTGAATCCTCAGTCCAACAGATGTCTAGATTGATTTGGCTCATGATCTTTCTAGACCTGGGCTTTAGTTCTGATAGGAGCACTTGAGAAGTCATGGGGTCTTCAGTTAAGTTGTTTGTATTTCCTTTGCCCCGTTCACCTTCCCTTGAGTAGCCTGGTAGGAGTCAGATGGCCTTGCCTTGCCACTGGTGAATGACTGTCCTGGGCCTGACTTCTCATCTCTAAAATGGGATGTTCACAGCATAGCTATAATTTGTGGTGTTAGGAGCAGTTCCAGGTCCTTCACTTGCATGCCAGAAGCCCTAAGACAGGGGTTCTTGCCTTAGTTTTACCCACAAGGAAAGTGAGGTTGAGCAAGGTTTAGCAATTTCTGCTAAGGCAGTGGAGGTAGTAAGTGAGAGTTCTGGGATTCAAGCCCAGCCTCAGCTCATACACCAAAACCATCTAACCATGAGGCACATCAGCTCCATGTCCCACCTCGCCCTCACTACCAGGCCATAATTCAGAGAGAACCACGAAGAAACAGGAAGGAAAGACTGGACCTTGGGTTTTGGGCGCTGATGCTGAAGTCACTAACCAGTGGCATGGAGGGTTGAAAAACTCTAAAGGCAAAAAGGAACCAGGGTTCTAGGGGCTGGCCCCAAGGGCCTGAGTATTTATGGGGCAAGAGAGGGGGACCTTGGGTCTGGGGCTTCAAGAGCAAGGATTTTAGCGTTATATATAAAGCAGGGATGAGAAGTGGACGGGAGTTGGGGATGGCCAGGGATTGGGTGGGGGTCAGGTGTGGATAAAGTTGTCTATCATGTACCTTACTTGGTGATAACCGATCACTCGATGTCTTGTTGGAGGGGCCAGCAGGCAAACAAATGGACAGCATTCAGGGCATCAAAGGGTTTCCCCTTCCAAGGCCCTTCTGTTGCCTGAGTGGCTTGCTGGGTCAGTTTTGGAAATGCTGAGGCAATGCTCCCCCCACTCACAAAGCTGTGCAAGCATCTTCTGGCACCCAGCCCCAGGCCCAAGCATTTCACAATCAAAATAGTTCCACATCTGCACATTTTGAGATTTCATGGCACATGACCTTTTACATCTTGTCCACACTTATCCAACCTCTTGTTAACCATTCTAGGGCCAAAATTCTATCTAGGACAGAGAATTGATCTGAAAGCCAGAGAAGCTTCCTATTTCTTCAGCAGTCTTTGGGGTCAAAAGATCTTTTGAGCCTACAGAATGTTCTTAGAGCTCAAAGCAGCATCTTATAGTTTTTTGGTTTTTACAAAACGCTTCACAAACAGATATGCCTTTGACTCACAACAACCCCATGACAAGGGTGGCCCACCTGGCACTGAGGCTCAAATGAATTAATTGGCCAAGGCCACACATTGTGTAAGTGGGTGAAATGGGACTTCTTGATCATTTTTCCATAACGGACCTTGGGACTTTTAGAGAGTGAGTACGTACTATCTGACCCCGGCTGGTCCATTTCTCAGACTTGGGAATGTGGACTGAGGCAGGAAGAAGGAATCTAGGGAGGACGATGCATGGGCTGCAAGGTCTGGAAGGCGAGTGAGTTGAGGTTTCCTGGGGCTTCTGGTCAGCCTTCTCCCTGATAGGTTTTCTGTCACTGGGACCCTCTCTAGAGTCTGTGGTTCTCCTGGAAATGGAAAGAGGGGATTGGTGGGAGGAATGGCAAGGCCAGGGGTACCCAGGTAGAAGTTCTCAGTGAGTCTGAAGCTGAGACAGCTGAGTGGCTGTGAGAAAATGATGCTGTCCATTGCCAAGGGGGCTTCATGGGTATCACCACATCCATATGGGCACTCTTGGTGGCTTGGCCAAGCTCTGCCCCTGGCTAAGCCATTTCTACCAATGACTAAGCCATCTGTCCTGGCCCGTCTTCTCAAAGCCCCCAGCCCCTCACACCAGGAAGCTGCAGCAATGGCTTGAGGAAGGTGCCCAGGGGTCAGGCCAGTCTACCTGTTAGGGACTGGAGGTCTGGGGGCTGTCAAGCCAGAGGGTCCTGGTCCCGTTGCCCTTCCTCCCCCAGCAGGGTCTCAGGCCCTAGGCCAGGGCTCAATAGACGTAGGCAGCAGGATGGGGTTGCCCTTCTATTGATCTAAGTCCTGAGCGTAGGCTGGGTGAGTCATGGAGGTGAGGAGGCCCACAAGGCTCAGCAGTGTGGAGAAGAGCAGCAGGAAGGAGGCGGTGAAGAGGAGGGCGGGCAGGGCACTGAGCACCAGCAGCAGCAGAGCCGGCAGCAGGTGGCGCCACACCGCGGCCACGACGGGCCACAAGGAGCTCAGCAGGTAGGAGCCAGTGATGAAGAGTGCATGGCACAGCATCAGTGCCAGCAGCAGGTAGAGTATCCCCTCCAGACCCCACAGCAGGCGCTGCAGCGGTTGCCGCCAGCTCGAGGTGTTCCACCACTGGATCCAGCTCCGGGGCACATGGGACGCCAACCAGCGCACCCAGCCTTGCCGTGTGAACCAGGCCGACCAGGGCGCTGCCTGCTGTGGCCCCTCGCCGGCCCCGAAGGTATCTGTCTCCACTCGCAGCTGCTGCATCACGGCTGGTGCACCTGGGGAGAGGGCCAGGGCCTTGGAGATGCCTGGGACCTCAGGAGGGCAGAAAGGGGGTGCAGGGGTCAGGCGGGCACCAACATGGGTGGGTAGGGCAACAGAGTTGGGGCCTGAGACTTACCTCTGGGCAGAATTACCTAAGTCATGTTGCTTCTTGCAGTGCCCAGGATGGCTTGGCAGGCAGATCCAAGTCTTCACTCTCATCTACCCCCACCCTCCCCAGAGGAGCCCCTTTGTGACCCGGGCTGGGGTGGGGTCCCACCAAGAGAGGAGCCACTGCAGGGTGTGAGGCCCGCCCAAGTCCCTCTGCATGGACCCTCCAGGCTAGCAGGGGAACCTCGGAGCCCTGCAGGTGTAGTTCCTCATGCTTTCTCATGGAAAGCCCTCCCTGGATCCCTGACCCTTCCTTGCTTTCCCTGCTGGCTGATATCCACCCGCTTCCACCCTGTTCTCTTCTGTCTGGACCTTCATTCTCTAGAACCACAAAAGAGGCCAGAGTGGCTGCCCCAAACCCACAGGCTCTGAGATAGTTGCCACATCCTTCCCCAGGCTCCCTGGCTTGTATCCTGCCTTCTCTTGCTGCCCCAAGACTCAGACCCAGGTATCCAATACCTATGTCAGGTGTCCCCAAACTACGGCCCACGGGCCGCATGCAGCCCCCTGAGACCATTTATCCGGCCCCCCGCCGCACTTCAGGAAGGGGCACCTCTTTCATTGGTGGTCAGTGAGAGGAGCACAGTATGTGGCAGCCCTCCAGCGGTCTGAGGGACAGTGAACTGGCCCCCTGTGTAAAAAGTCTGGGGACGTATGACCTATGTTATGGGACTGGAGGTTCTGTGAGGTTCAGGCTGGGAGGAAAGGGGTATCATCCCACCTGCCCAGCCAGGAAGGAGAAAAGGGGGCCTGAGGAAGGAGGATGGTCATTGTATATTTGAAGGACACTGAATTTTTGGGAGGGGCTCTCAGGCCCAAGGATGGAGGCAGAAAGCCAGGCCAAGCAGGGTCAAGGGCATGCCGCAGGCTCTCAGGAGCAGGCCAAGTCCCATGAGCAGCAGCAGCAGTGCATCCTGGAGGCGAAGTTGTCCTGACACTGCCCCCATTTGCAGGAGTAGAGCCTCCTGCTGTCCTGGACCCTCACCGGCCCCCTGACTCTGGCCCCTGGTGAGAAGTTTGCGCTGTGGCCGTGTGCCACCTGCGGGCCTGCAGAGAGAGAGAGGGTGGCAGCTGGGCTTAGGGAAGTTGTCCACTGGACTGCCCGCCTACAATGCCCACCTGCCAGGCTGCTGTCTACTTACCTATGGAGCAGGTCGAAGGTGAGGAAGCTGACCACCAGCAGCAGCAGCAGTAGGGCTGGGCCAGTCGTGGCAAAGACTGCCTGAATCGTCATCCCTAGTGCCCCCAGCCCTAGGACACTGTCCAGGAGCTGGGCCCAGCTACAGCCCCAGGGGGACATACGTGCATGCACTGGACGACCCGACCCCTCCCCAGCATCCAGACCCCTGGGAGGAACTGGGATCGGATCTGCAAGGGCTTTGGGTCTAGGTAAACAGAGCTGGGTCATGGAGAGAGGTGGCGGTGACAGGAAGAGCTAGTGCTAAAAGGGATCATGGGGTGGGAATCGGGCAAGGGGTAGGGCCCTGGCAGACACAAGTGTGGGCTCAGAGTGGGGAATTAGGCTCCTGTGGAGTCTCTCCCTGCACCATACTCACCCCCCAAACCCTCCTCACCTGCTCCCACTTTGGTCAGCATTCTAGGAGGGCACCTGGGGCATTGTGAGCTGTTGCCAGGTGGGGCCCTGGGGTAGGGAGGGGGCTGCTGCTGCTACTCTGGCCTCATAAGCAGCTGGTGGCCTAGGTGGGGCTTAGCTGGGAATTCAGAGATTTCTGAGAACTAAGACTCATCCTCTTGCCATTGCTGGTTCTCTGCCCTAGGGCCTTCCCTTGGGGATCTGAGCCGTCAGGAAGGCACTCTAACCCCATTACTACTTGGGCATCTGTCCAAGGGAGCGAGATCTGCTTACTTCTTCCTGTAAGTTTTCAGAGCTACATGTTCAGGGGCAGGTCATTCAATATCTCTGTCCCCAGCTGTCTTCTCCGTGGGCCCTTCTGGGGATTTTTCAGGCCTGCAGTTCCACCAGGCTCCCGTATAACCTGATAAATAAGGGTGGGAGAGGAGGGGGCTGTTCAGGTGTTCTAAGCCCTAGTTTATAGGCGGTATTATGCATACTGGGGTTCCAGAAATGAGGCAGGGGACATGAACCTAAGTGGACTGTGACCTAGTAGCCCCAGATTAGAGGTTAAGGTTATACTCTGAGAATGGATGTAAGGAAAATAAGCATCTAGTGAAGAGGTTGGTCACCTGGATTATCAGTAGATCACAATACACTGGTAATTTGTAAATGAGTGGTGGCCACAGGGGTTCCAGCACATCTCAGTTTAGTGACTTGAGAGGCAAGAGTAAAAATGTGTCATAATTAAAAGAACTTAATCTTTGCCAACATATCACACATTGAAGGAAAACTGGTAGGGGTGGAAAAGAGGGTGGCCATACAGCCCCTAGGAGAGGAGGAGACAGAACGAGAATCAGACTGTACATCTGCCTCCAGAAGGCCTTGCCCAAAGACTCAGGCCTTGTGGCCCTGATCTCTGTGGTGGAAGTGGGCTTGGCAGCCCACAGAACCAATGTCACCAGCCCTAGGGACCATTGACTGATTGTCCTTGCTCTGGCTCTTTTTGCTTATCCAGCAACTGGGCTTTAGGGGTAGATTTGTCCATAATGGGAAAGGGTATAACAGAAGATCCCAGAATTTTGTGTGTGTGTGTGTGTGTGTGTGTGTGTGTGTGTGTGTGTGTGTGTCTGTGTATTAGGTTCCAATCGTATTTGTAAAGGAGCATTAAGGTTTAAGATTGCCAATACCCTGAGCCTGATTAACCCTGGATGCATCCACACCTTTGCATTCCTGGACATACAGACCTGAGAAGCATGTCGGGATCCAACCCATGACCCAAACACCTACCATCAGGACCTACCTCCAACATTGGGGATTATATTTCAGAATAAGATTTGGACAAGAGGGGCTGAAGCTGAGGGAGTCGAGGCAGCGTCGTCGCGATGGTGTTGTTGGAGAGCGAGCAGTTCCTGACGGAGCTGACCAGACTCTTCCAGAAGTGCCGGACGTCGGGCAGCGTCTATATCACCTTGAAGAAGTATGATGGTCGAACCAAACCCATTCCGAAGAAGGGTACTGTGGAGGGCTTCGAGCCCGCAGACAATAAGTGTCTGTTAAGAGCTACCGATGGGAAAAAGAAGATCAGCACTGTGGTGAGCTCCAAGGAAGTGAATAAGTTTCAGATGGCTTATTCAAACCTACTGAGAGCTAACATGGATGGGCTGAAGAAGAGGGACAAAAAGAACAAAACTAAGAAGACCAAAGCAGCAGCAGCAGCTCCAGCAGCACCAGCACCAGCTCCAGCACCAGCAGCGCCAGCACCAGCAGCGCCAGCAGTACCACCACCAGCAGCAGCACCACCGCCAGCAGCAGCAGCAGCAGCAGCAGCAACAGCAACAGCAGCAGCAGCAGCAGCACAGTAAAGGACACAAATTTCTTGCTTTCACCAATTAACCACTGAGTTGCTATTTTTTCCTTTGGTTTTTACTTTGGCCACGTAGCTAGGCTTCTGGTTCCCCCACAGTAGGTGTTTTAACATAAGATGAGGGTCCTTTTGGAAAGAATAGTTGCAATGTTTATAGGGTAGTTGTATTAAGAACCTAGTTTATTTTACATTTGGTTAATTGGTCTGTGCTGCATGGTTGTATACTCCTGGATTATAGATTAAAAGTCTCTGTAGTCATCTCTGAAGAGCAAGCTATCATTAAACATGTCTGTTTATCAAAAAAAAAAAAAAAAAGATTTGGACAAATATTCAAACTATATCAGTGGGTCATAATTACTAAAAGCAGAGTCTGAGATGGGGATTCTTACACATAGATTTTATTGAGGGAGTGTTCTCAGGAGAAAAAAATTTTTTTTTTTTTTTTTTTTTTTTTTTTTTTAGGCAGAGTTTTGTTCTTGTTGCCCAGGCTGGAATGCAATGACACAGTCTTGGCTCACTGCAACATCCACTTCCAGCTTCAAGCAATTCTCCTCCCTCAGCTTTCTATGTAGCTGGGATTACAGGCTCCCACCACCATGCCTGGCTAATTTTTGTGTTTTTAGTAGAGATGGGGTTTTACCATGTCAGCCAGGCTGGTCTTGAACTCCTCACCTCAGGTGATCTACCTACCTCAGCCTCCCAAAGTGCTAGGATTACAGGTGTGAGCCATCATGCCTGGCCAGAAGGTGAAAGTTTTTTTTTTTTAAATCGAGAGACTCTTCAGAATTGAAGGACATGATTTTCTAGACCGTAAGTTTCCACCAATTCACAGCACAATAACGGAAATTGGGCTAGCTAACACCAAGGCATATGATGAAATTCAAATTACCGGTGATAAAAAGACACTCCTAAGAGCTTCCACCAAATAAAAAGATCACATACATTGGATCTGAAGCCAGAATGATACCACACTTTTAAACACCAATACTGGGTAGCTAGAAGACAATTAATGCCCTCAAAATGATTTCCAATATAGAAATGTAAATGTCAAGATCATTATTAATTGGGAGGGTAGAATAATGACATTTCAACAACAAAAGGTCTCAAAACTTTGACCTTATATACACCCTTTCTTAGAAAGCTTACCGGAGGATGTGCTTAAGCAAAACAAAGAATTAAACTAAAAAAGAGAGCAATATGGCATTCAGTAAATGAGATTAAATACAGAAAAGGTTTAATAATGAGAAAGGCCTGGGATGTCAACTCTACCCCTAAGTAGAGAAAGTAACCAACGTGGCCTGAACCAGAAGATGTGCTCCAGGAGTGATGTCTCCAGAGAAAAAGGAAATCGACTGATTATTAGCTATGTTTAGATATATTGAATAAATATTCAGTTATATTGGAAACTTTGGGACTGAATTAGTGATTGGTGCCTAAAAAACTAGGCAAATAATAAGAACAAAGTAATTATTAACTCCAGGTAGCACAAAGAGTTAAATGTAATATTTACATGGTCATCACAAAAGCACTGAATATTTATTCCAAATGGTGGTTTATCTTTACTGAAGTTGGAAGGATGGAGTATAGGTTTGTGTATCTAGATGTGTGTATTGAGGGGAGGGTGGCAGAAAAGCTAATTCTTTAATTCTATAGCAGAAAATCCACAGATAGCAACTACATATAGAAAAATCAAGAAATAGCCAGGCACTGTGGCTCACACCTGTAATTCCAGCACTTTGGGAGGCTGAGGGAGGCGGATCACTTAAGGCCAGGAGTTCAAGACCAACCTGGCCAACATGGTGAAACCCCATCTCTACCAAAAATACAAAAATTAATTGAGCATAGTGGCAGGCACCTGTAATCCCAGCTACTAGCGTAATTGAGGTACAAGAATCACTTGAGCTGGGAGGTAAAGGTTGTAGTGAGCTGAGGTCTTGCCACTGCACTCCAGAATAGACAACAGAGAAAGAATTTTTTTTGATTGATTGATTGATTTATTTATTTATTTATTTATTTATTTTTTAAAGGCCAGGCACAGTGGCTTACGCCATAATCCCAGCACTTTGGGAAGCCGAGGCGGGTGGATCATCTGAGATCAGGAGTTTGAGACCAGCCTGGCCAACATGGTGAAGGCCCTCTCTCTACTAAAAATACAAAAATTAGCCAGGTGTGGTGGCAGGTGCCTATAATTCTCAGCTACTCAGGAGGCTGAGTCAAGAGAATTGCTTGAACTCAGGTGGTGGAGGTTGCCATGAGCCGAGATTGCGCCACTGCACTCCAGCCTGGGTGACAGAGTGAGACTTTGTCTAAAAAAAAAAAAAAAAAAAAAAAAAAAAAAAAAAAAAAGAAAGAAAGAAAGAAAGAAAAAACGGAAATAGCAAGAAATCTCAGCATAGAGATAAATATAGGAGAAATAACAAAAAAGAATTACAAGTGCCTGGCTTGGGAAAGGCATTACAGCAGACTCTTCCATTGCAAAGCTAACTGATTTACCTTTAAAACTATATTGCAGCCTGGACCTCTATGGAAAACTGTATGGAGATTTCTCAAAGAACTAAACGTAGATCTACATTCAATTCAGCAATCTCACTACTGGATATTTACCCAAAGGAAAAGAAGTTATTATATCAAAAAGACACCTGCATGCATATATTTATTGCAGCACAATTCACAATTGCAAAGATATGGAACACATCTAAGTGCCCATCAACTGATGAGTGCATAAAGTGTAGTATGTGTGTACACACACACACACACACACACACACACTGTGGAATACTACTCAGCCATAAAAAAAATGAAATAATGTCTTTTGGATGGAACTGGAGGTCATTATTCTAAGTGAAGTAACTAAGGAATGGAAAGCCAAATACCTTATGTTCTCACTTATAAATGGAAGTTAAAGTGTGAGTATGCGAAGGCATACAGAATAGTATAATGGACAACAGAGACTCAGAAGGGGGAGGGTAAATGGGAGCGTGATGGATAAAAAACTAGGTATTGCATACAATGTATGCTTTTGGGTGATGGGTGCTCTAAAGTTTTAGACTTTATCACTACGCAATTCTCCCTTGTAACCAAAAACCCCTTGCACCCCTAAAGCTATTGAAATAAAAATTAAAACTATGTTGTAGCTTGGAT